TGCACAGGGAGATAGATCAGTGGGGAAGAATGCATTGAAAAGAAGGACACAGGGAAGAGGTAACTACAGGGAAGATGTGGGAAGAGAGCTGTTACGTTATGGGGATTGCAGTCAATTTCATAAACAAAATGTGTATGAACTGTTTTATGGAAAATGAATTTGCTCTATAAACTTCCATCCAAATAACAATACAAATTAAAAAAAAAAAAAGATTATTTTTGGAAACTCTATAGGGCAGTTCTACTATGGTTCTATGGGTTCAGAATGGACTTGATGGCAATAAGTTTGGTTTTGGTTACAGATACCCTAATTTATATATTATGTTTAAATATCCAGGAAAAAGAAGCAAAGATTGCTTAAAAATATTAATTACTAACAAATAGTAACATCTCAAAATTTCTACTTACTATCATCAGAAATTTTAATTGTGGCACTGTAGCATGAAATGGCTAATACTTAATACCGAGATGAATCACTTGTTTATCTCTACGCACCGCCATCGAATAGGATCCGACTCATAGCAAACCCTCCTTGGGTTTCCGAGGTGATATCACTATAGAAGTAGATTGCCCAACCTTCTTTCCAAGGAGTGGCTGATGGGTTTGAACCACCAGTCTTCTGGTTAGCAGTCAAATGCCTTAGGCACTATGCCACCAGCACTCTGATGTATATCTTTAATCAACATAAATTTATTAATTGTGTAATTTCAAAATTCTTCTTTATGATTTTCAGAGATGTGTCCAATGTAAGAGCAAAGAAAAGAAAGATAATTCTTAATTTATTATTATTTCTATATCAAATTGTCATATTTTAGCTAAATGTAATGCTTATTTATTTAGACCATAAAAATGAATAGAATATAATAAAGTCTTAAAATTCATTCTGCTTAATTAGAGAAGGAAAGTGTCCTAAAAGCATGCCAAGTGGCAGAAGATACCTTGCTTAAAATCTCATACTCTTACCTTTGGGATTATTTGGGTCACGGTTCAAAATGGCATAACGAGGAAGTAAAATACCCTCAGCTTGAAGAATACTATACACTTCCCTCCTAAAGAAAAAGGAAGCCATCCTTATTATTTTATTGCTCTATTTCATAGTGAATATATTATTGTACTGTTCTTAATGTACATTATTACTGTTCCACTACTAAAAAAGATATGTATGCTGAATGGTTCTATTTTTTTAAATAAACATGTCATTTATAATACTGAAAAATGTATCCTAAGGAAACATTCAGCAATGAGAACAAAAATTTATATACATGAATATTTTTTATAGTATATTAAGACACTAATATTTAAAACTTTAAATGTAAATTTATAAAAAATAAAGTTGATATAGCTCAAAAATAATATTATCTATTGAAAACCTTATACACAAATAATATCTAATAACATAGACTGAAATTCACAATATTCTATGAGAAAAGTGATCCCTATTTTGTAAAATATGACTATATTTATGTGTTGCTTTCTAAAGGAAAAAAATGTGGTAGATATAGTGACAGAATTAAATAACTTTATGTTTTTACTTTTCAAACTTCTTAAAATTAACATCCCCCACATACATTTTTTACACACACACACACACACACACACATGTATTAGTGTATAAGCCTAGTGGAAATATTTCACATTTTTAGGTACTAGTATTGGCATAGTGCCTAAGGCATTTGACTGCTAACCAGAAGGCTGGTGGTTCAAACCCACCAGCCCCTCCTTGGAAGGAAGATTGGGCAATCTACTTCTGTAGAGATACCACCCTAGAAACCCAAAGAGGGGTTGCTATGAGTCAGAACTGACTCGATTGCAGTGAGTTTGGTTTGTTTTTGGTAGCAGTGTTACTAACTAGAAGAGCAGAAAAAATAAAAAATAGAAAAGAAGGACCTTCTATTCTATGAAGTGTTTTCAGATATTCATTGCGATGCTAACACAAAAGAGAAGAGAATGCTGAAAATTAAAAGGGTAGCCAATCAGAGTAAAACATCAGTTAAATGAAATAGATAAATATACCTAAATCTCATAATTTCTCTTAAACATTCATGTTTTGGGCTAAGATACAGAGTGGAATATTTTCAAAATGCGTATACTTTACCATTTTTAAAAAGGTAGTAATAATTAGTAAAAATTATTCATAGTTTTCAATGATTTAAAAGGCTCTGGAAATTAAATCTGGTTTAAATCTTTGTTCTACTACTTAGAGAACTACTTGTGATACTGGGCAAATTGACTGATCTCCCTGATTCTCAAATTTCTTAATTTGTTAAAAATAAATAAATAGGTATAAATACCTGTTTCTGAGTATTATTTTGAGGACAGAGAGAATTAATGTATGTGAAAACTCATGAGGCCATGTCAACATACAGTTAGGTACTCAACATATGTTCATTTTCCTTCCCTTAATTCAGTCAATTTTACTACTCACCTATCTTGTATAAGATACTGCATATTCAAGTCATTGATTACAAATGGATTCCTGAGTTTTGCATAGGCAACTGCTTTGTCCAGTGGAAATCCTAAGAACACATATTATTAACATACTGTGTAAAATCTCAAGATATATTGACAACTATGAATTTATCAATTTTAATTGATGGCCCCTCCCATAAAAGAATAATTTCATTATGCATATAATTATTCTACTTCTGTAGTGATACTGCCTCGGAAACCCAAGGAGGGGTCGCTGTGAGTCGTGTCCGACTCGACGGCACATAACAACAACAACATAATAATATTCTAACAACAATAACATCATATGTTATTTTTACTAGTTATTTTGATTGAAAAAGTATAGCCAAGTCAGTGGTTATATAACCAAATTTAGAGCACTGACTGTTCGTCAATGCCTGATTATTCTGTCACCGGACAGAGGGTAAGGTTATCTCACGTGCACAAAGAAATCTAAATATAAAAAGCTTAGGTGTATAACAATTATCTGGTGTTTCTTTCTTTTTTCTCACTAGAAACAATTACTATTCTCTTTAGAAATTTAATATCTATACATATAAATTAGTTGATAATTCAAAGAACGTATGCACCTTTAAAAACAGCAGCAAAAACAAAAATGAATTTAGATATAACATATATTCTCTAAACATGAAACAGATGAGCAGAAACATGCTATTGCTAGATCAGTGTTAAGATATCAGAAATTAACATCTTAATGAAAAATACTAATTACAATGGAAACAAATCATATGATAGATACAGCAAGAAGTCTAAAAAAATCTACAAACTTTAATGCCTATACTTTTTTAAAAAAATGACTATACTGTACACTAGGAGCTCTGGTGGCATAGTGCCTAAGGCATATGACTGCCAACCAGAAGGCTAGTGGTTCAAACCCACCAGCCACTCCTTGGAAGGAAAGTTAAGCAATCCATTTCCGTAGTGACACCTCCTCGGAAACCCAAGGAGGGGTTGCTATGAGTCGAATCCGACTAGACAGCAGTGCATTATACTTTATAGTACACTTCTTTATTGATACTAAAAGTCTCTAATTTTATCTATTAGTACATATTATTAAAAGAAGCAGTATAGTATAGAGGTTAAGAACATAAACCTGGGTTCAAATCCTGGCTCTAACTTTTATCAGCTATGTAAATATATTTAATATTTTTAAGCCCTAATTCCTGATTGTAAATGGATATTGTATCAGTACTATTCAGTAGAGTTTTTGAAGGATTAAATGGAATAGTGGATATAAAGCAGTTAGCACAGTACCTAGCATAGAAAGTATTCAGTAACTGTTACCTATTATTATTTTTTCAATGACAATACTTCAATGAATATTTTATCTATGGAAAAGGGTAAAAACTCAGTAAATATGCATAATTTTCAGATTTAACTTCAGCATACCTGTGAATACATTGTACTTTGTAGCATTATCAGTATAGTTGGAAAAGGGAAGACATTAAAGCATAACGAAGTTATTAAAATGAAACCAAAAACTATATGGTCAGTTAAACAAGATTAATCTCTAAATTCCTCTTAGGTTTTAAAGTTTAAAATATAAATATACTCTTACAAAAATCACTTGGCTACAAACAAATTACAAATCCCTTAAGTTTTATAAAGACTTTTGGAACTCACCATTTGTTATAAAAATGTCCCAAAGTCTGTAATCTGAAGCCTCCTAAGAGAGTTCAGTTCAGCAAGTTGGAAACTACACCCAGTTCCCATTTTCTTTTCTTTTCTTTTATTAAAGAACATTTTCCTCACCCAGAGACAACACATGGGATATACAGTCCTAGTCTTTACAGATAAATAGTTTTTGCAAAAAAGCTATGTGATGATGGTAAGGAAAGAACACCTTAACCTCAGCATAAGCAAATTTTAAGGTTCGTGGAAATGAGGGACTTCAGTGCAAAAATAAAGGTCTTGGCTTCTCTATAAAATAATGACAATCAATTTAGGCTATGGGAATACAAAAAGTCTCAACTATACCCTATCTTCATTTTGCTGTAGGAGATCTTCATGAACATCTAACTAAAGTGAGACTCAAACAGCTCAGGACTAGTCATTTTGGTAAAAAGTGAGTGTTAATATTAAAGCATCTGTAAAGAGAGCACATCTTTTATATTTTAGTTGTTAATGTGAAATTTACTTAATTTACACAGATTCCTAGGTTATATATTCTCAGATAAACACTTAGTAATAATCTTTACTATTTTATATGTTAAAATTCCCTGAAGTAATAATAATTCAGCTTATTTTTAAATTTATTACTAATAGATAGCAAGATCTCAAATTGCAAATATTAAATTCTGAAATAAAGTACAAATATATATTAGCATATGAGAAATAACAGATCATTTTCTATATACAAAATCATAATGCCTTACCAATAATTCAAAGAATTTGTCCTAAGACATTTAGAGATGCAAACAAAAATACACCTTACTTTAATTGTGAAAATGTAGAAACCACGTAAATATTAGGAGATTGGTTACATACATTATGGTATATTCCCATGATGACACACTATGCTGTCATAAACGATTCGGTTTTTGAAGAATGATATGGAGGGGGAAAAAAGTCCATATTGATACACCTAATACTGAAAAGAGGTAAATGTAAATATACATTTTTTAAATCTGTTTTGAAAAATATATAAAGGCAGCTCTGGTAGCGTAGTGCCAAAGGTACTTGACTGCTAACCAGAAGGCTGGTGGTTCAAACCCACCAGCCGCTCCTCGTAAGGAAGGTTGGGCAATCTACTTTCATAGTGATAACACCTCGGAAATGCAAGGAGGGGTCACTATGAGTTGGGTCCGACTCCACGGTACATAACAATAACAACAACATTAAAAAAAGGGAATAAATATATTAAAATATTAATATCACCAATCTGTGAGAGTGGCATTATGGGCAATTTTATTTTTCTGTTTTTTCCAATTTTTTACAACAAATACGTGTATGTTTTTAATTAGAGAGGATAAAGGGGTTTCCCTCTTCTTTAATACCTTTAGAATGGAATGAAATAAGACAATCACACAATGGCCAATTTTCCACTGGCTCATTCAAAATAACATCCTCTTCAAATACTACTACTGTGATATATTTAAATAAGGAGATCCGTTCAAGAATTTCCTTCATTGGTTTGGATTTGGATTTCTTTGCCATGGAACATATTCCAACCACAATCTGCCTTTCTGGTGGCTAAAAACAGAAAGGAAACAAACAAACAAACAAATCAGGACTTAATTCAAACTCCAAAGTACAGCTATCTTAACCTTTTCTGGAAGTAAGTAAGATATGCACTGAATCAATAAAAGTGACGCTTTAACCAACAAATGCATTTATCAAAATTTTATGTTATAATAAATAACAGATTTCTACAAAGGTCTAGAAAATTTTTAAAACCCAGCAACACTTTCAGAATATAGTCACCATTTTTATTAAGATTTAAAATCTAAACAAATACTCCCCCTTTTCACTGTCTCTAGCATCTACTTGTCCTTCATGCACCAGAGAAGGGCTAAAAATCTGTCTAATTCAAGTAAAAAGGTGAGACAGAATCTCCTGCCTAAAGTAAGATACTATTTTTGACTACAAAGCTATACAGTATTAAACTATTTTTATACATTGGTCAACCCTGACAACTTGGAAGTAAATTTAGGACTAAGCCAAGGTGTTAGCACATATTTGACAATCACTCTGCACTGAAAGTGCATTTCAGATATGTATAATTATACTGTAAAAAATGTTGTTAAATAACTGTAGAAAAGAATTCAAAAAATCATCTAATAGCTATTTTTGGTTTGTTTTTACTACTTTACCAAGCTTAATAGGTATGTCTCAAAATAAAATCCTCTTTCCAATTGAAAATATACAAAACACAAACACATTTCTAAGTTTATATTTGAAATAAGTTCTCAGGTAAATAAATTTCTATTTGTAAAATAAATAACAAAAACAAAGCTAGTGTTAACTATTGTTGTTGTTGTTGCTGTTATGTGCCATCGAGTCAGCCCCGACTCATAGCGACCCCTCCTTGGGTTTCCAAGGCAGTATCACTACGGAAGTAGGTATGCCCAACCTTCCTTCCGAGGAGCGGCTGGTGGGTTTGAACCGCCAGCCTTCTGGTTAGCAGTCAAGTGCTTTAGCCACTATGCTACCAGAGCTCCTAGCTAAATGAATACAATGAACGTGTGTCAGTTTTAAAGATTTCACATATAGATTCACTATATTAGAGAGTAAGATTGACTAGCTGACTTACACACACACATACACACACACACATTAGTGCTGATAGTTGAGGCAGCATCTACATTTAGCCAACCAATTTGCAAATTTCTGAATTATTAATAAACAAAGATATCTTCAGTCAAGTAGTGCTTCCATTGACACCATGATAAACTTCATGAAGCCAGTTAAATAAGCTCCTTCTTTACCACCTTGAAAATGATTTCCTTCTAGTTCTTTATCTTGGGGTAACTGTTAAATTATTTCTTGACGCATAGTAGGTTCAATAATGTCATTCATGAACCAAAATATAATTTTCTAGTTTATAACATTTCCAGTAAATTATGTGAAAAAATGTTAACAATTTTAAATAACAGTATTAACAGGCAATAAGAATGAGAAGTATCATACTATATTGATCTTCTCTCATCAAACAACTTACAGACTCATCTTCATCCTCATCATCTTCATCTGCATGGTGGAAGAAATGTCGATAATTTCCAGGATTTACTTCAGTATCTTCAGGCCCAACAAAGAACCTCGGGGCTTCACTCATTTTTATTTCATTTGATATATAATGTAAATAATTTATACTAAAACTCTTGTAAATAAACAGCATCAGAAGAAAGCATTCTCTCTATAGCTAGCTGACACATACGTCTGTTGCAGCTTGTTTCTGTTTATACAGTCACTTGAAATTGTGATGACAGCTAGCTGGAAAATGTTCTTTTGTTCTCAGATATCATTGCTTCATTGTTGGTACTTAAGTTGCTGCTGAAGTTTAAAAAACAGAGACAGTGCAGCTACTGTTTCCCTGAGTTGATATAGCAAATATTTTTAACCTAGAATGCAATTTAAAAATATTAATTTTGGAGAGTATACTTCAAAAACATTCATTTCAAAATAATTTTAAATGGCATGTATAAATTCCACAACAAAAACTTGATGTATACTTTCAAAATGAAAATTCTTTTCTTTCCATAAAATTAAGAAATTGATACTCTGATCTTTGGTAATATACATCTTAGCAATATGACAAACTGATAGAAAGAATAAGAAATTCCCTGTCAAAAATATCCAGTAAAATATTCAAATTATAAGAAAATTACTTTAATGGTTAATTACCTCAGCATATAATTCTTCAATATTTGAATGGAATGGAAAAAGATAGATAAAATGTAATGCAAATTTTAAAATAATTTGTAGCTGAACATCAATGTGAAATTACATTAAATCAATTTTTAAAGGCCTCAAGTTTAGTGTGCAAAGGGTTTTTCCAAGGAACATAACTGCCATATAATAGTGATACAACCTCAAAATATTTGTTTCTAAAGCTATCTACATGTATTTGTTAACTGGTCATATTAAAACTATCTATGGAGATGAAACAATGTATCAAATATTTTGACTACTCCTAATAAAAGAAATTACTTGATCAGCTATTAAGACATATTGAATAATTTGTTACATAGTACTGGAAAGCATAATTTCAAGAGTCCTATTCCTGAAGTTCCAATACCACTTTAGTTAGTAGCTCCCTATGAAATATAAAGGAGTTCTGGTAGCATAGTGCCTAAGGCTAACCAGAAGGCTGGCGGTTCAAACCCACCAGCCATTCCTTGGAAGGAAAGTTAGGCAATCTACTTCTGTAGTGATAATGCCCCAGAAACCCAAGGAGTGGTCGATATGAGTCAGGTCCGACTTGACGGCACGTAACAACAACATGAAATATAAACCTATTTTATCCATTCAGTCTTTAGTTTACCCATATTTAGAATTACCTTGCTCATGGAGTGTTAGAAAATTTTAAACAATTTGTGATTAAAGAATGAAAGCTGAAGTACTTCACTTTATAAACCAGTGCCTTTCATTCCTATTCCTCTTGCTCTGTTACTCGTGTAAAAGATGTTGGCTGAAAAAAAGCAAAAGAAAGTTTTCAATTACTGTATAACTTGTCAGAAGTAGATAAATTGATCGCAGTTCTCCTGTTTTGTACCAAATGGTAATTTTTTTTTTTTTTTTTTTAATCTATCCCACATTTCTCCTCCCATCTAACAACAGCCCTAATTTCAGTAGTGGAAAGGCCATGTGTTTTGGAATCAGGAACCTGTTTAAATCTGTCACTACATACTAACAATTTCTGCCAGTTTCTCGCTATCAGTTTCTTCAATTACAAAAAAAGAGAGTATAGTAACACCCTGTAACTCTGTAAAGATCAAGCGAGGGAAGTATTAGTAAGGTCAATATTTGTTAAGTAATGGGTATACTAAGCACCCAATTAGCTTTAGCTCCTATAGGCACTACTATAAACCAAAAACTCCCTACTAGTATGACATGTAAGTAACACAGAATGAACATTGTCCATTAGTTGTTGAAATGAACATATTTATTCAACAAATACTATTTCCTATCTTGGCACATGCAGTACAGGTGCTAGAGATATAAAGTAAATTAAGCATGGTCTTTTTCCTTAAGGAGCTAATGGTCTAGCAGGAAGATAGTCAGGTAAATCAGTATTTCCTGTTTCAGTGTGGTAAGCATACAAATAAAATAGGTAACAGAAATATGCCATGGAATAAATGTTGCATTATCCACTTAAAGAATGCTATTGATGTAAGCAGATGCTAGAGTCTGTGTATCATCACATATAGTGGGGTGTGTGTGTATACACACAATTCATGATATTATTTTAAAATTACACTTTCTTCTGGTTTAGGTGTTTTCTAAGCCTTTCAACATAACGCTTAACAAAAGCACTAACAATCTTGTTTTAGAGGCAGAACTGAAAAGTAATTTTAAAAGGCTTTCTACTTTGTGTTTATAATGAAAGTCTGGAAAGTATGAAAATGAAATTTTAAAAATCAGCTAAGAATCCCACCAACCAATTGCAGAACTACCTGGTTGTAGTTCTTTGTTATAAAATATTTGCTTGCATTTCTCATTAGTCTTTTCATCATATGTTCCCCAACATTTTTGAGCTACTTTATATAACACATATGTTGCTGTTAGATGCCATCTAGTTGACTCTGACTCATAGTTACCCTATGTACAACAGAATGAAACACTGCCCAGTCCATACCATCCTCACAGTCCTTGCTATGCTTGGGTATACTGTTGCAGCCCCGTGTCAATCCATCTTGTGGAGGGTCTTCCCCTTTTTTCTCTGACTCTCCACTTTACTAAGCATGATATCCTTCTGACAACTTGACCAAAGTAGGTGAGATGAAGTCTAGCCATTTCACTTCCAAGGAGCATTCCAGCTGCATTTCCTCCAGGACACATTTGTTTGTTCTTCTGGCAATCCATGGCTTTTTCAATATTCTTTGCCAACACCACAACTCAAAGGCACCAACTCTTCTTCAGTCTCATTGTCCAGCTTTCACATGCATAAGAGTGATTGAAAATACCATGGCTTGGGGTAGGCACACCTTACCCTTCAAAGAGACATCTTTGCTCTTTAAAACTTTAAAGAGGTCTTTTAATGGATAACCAAACTATGGTACATACACACTATGGAATACTACGCAACCCTAAAGAATAACATAGAATCTGCAAAACATCGCATAATATGGATGACCTTGGTGGACATTATGCTGACTGAAATAAGTCAATCACAGAAGGACAAATATTGTATTAGTCCATTACTGTAAAAAGCCAAGGAAGGTTTATATATAGAAGGAAATTTTATTTGTTGTTTACCAGGGGTGGAAGAGGAGAGGAGGGAACACTGTTAGATAGGTAGTGACAAGTATTGATATAAGTGAACAGGAGGGCAATGTACCAAATGTGAGTGATCAACACGGTGGCAGTGAGGAAGAGGAAGACATAAAGAGGTACATGGGAGGTACAGACAACAAAGATGAACCATTTTGCACATACAGTACTGCATTGTCAGTGAAGGCAAACGTCGATCTATGGGTGGATGGATGGGTAGACAGGCTGAACTAACCATGACCATGTATAGTGTTGGCAGACAATGATTCTACAAGTGTATTTGTATGTTCTATAAGAATTACCAGGTATATAGTAGAGCTGACAAGGGACAATGTTGTAGTTACTTCTTGGCCACAGCTAGCCACCCTGAGGGAGCAAGTAGTTGGACCTGTGCACTTGGGACCATAGTCTCAGGGGACATCAAGCTCAATTGGGGTAACATACTACACAAAAACATTGTTCCACATCCTACTTTGGCAAGTAGCGACTAGGATCTTAAAAGCTTGCAAGTGGCCACCTAAAGGGAATGATGGATCTCTCCTTGTCCAGAGCAGAGAAGAATGAAGAAAAGCAAAGACACGTGGAAACAATAAGTCCAAGTGACTGGCACACCATAAGATCCTCCGCCTATATGACTACGAGATCAGGAGAACTAGATGGTGCCTGGCTAAAACTGTCAACCTCTCAGAGAGGGATCTATGTAGAAGATCCTGGATA